GCCTCGGTACTTCCACCAGGGTGTATCATTCCCTATAGGATTCAAGCTCTACAAACGACTTTATTCATCCTTGCGTAGTTAAGGAGGCCTCTCTTTACACATCTGACTACCCCTCTACCATTACCATCACTCGTTGTAATAATTGCATCAATTCCTTCATCTACTGTGTGGTGTTTAAATTTCCCTTCTCTTTTTTTTTGCAGGTGCCTCACAACCTTCACAAGGCCCCGTGATTCCATGATCGACGAACCTTCGACGCTATAAAAGACATGTAAAACCACATTTTCGACACTACATTTTCTCATCAATTTGACCACTCCAACGATCGCCGCTCGACTAATTCTTGTCAATCTTACACCCTCTGATAGTCCTTCTCCTTATTTTTTTTATGTCCTAAATGACGGTAGCATCAAGTCTCGAAATGTAGAGTGTCTAGTTGCATGTTTTTCATGACAACTACTCTTCGCCGAGCATGACTACAAAGTCGCTGAATGTGAGGTTCTCGCGCTAGTCTACGCTCTTAAGAAGTGATATCACTATCTGCACAGTCAAAACTTCACAATTTTCATGAAGAAGTTTATTATCACCGCCTTCCACACAAAAGCGAAGCTTACACCTCGCCAGGCTCGTTGGTGGCATAAACTTTCAGGATTCACTTTCACCATGATTGGTAATATCTTTAGGGAGAGCTTGAGCAACTGCGTTGTGGATGCCTTATCCCCTCACCCTGACCTTCATTGTAACGTTCACCAACTCTCCGCTATTTATATTCTTACCATTCATCCCATCTTTCTCAACGTGTATTACCACGAGTATACCCGTGGTACTGAGTTCCGGTCTATTTACACTGATCTCCTGACCAACAAGACCATTCCCAGTTTTGTCAACTATATTCTTATGGACTCCTCTACTGGGCCAGGTGTAATCATAAAGGTAATCATACTTATTGTATATGCATAACGTTCTCTGTCCAACTTTGTGTTCGTGTCGTCGTTGAATGTTATCATCAACATGTCGCGGTTCATTTAGGTTTTCACCAAACATTTGGCTGACTTTCTCAACATTACTATTAGAAGGTTCACCAAACTTTCATTAAGAAGTATGCTGGTAGTTGCAAAATCGATCAAAAAATCAATATTTCTAACCATCCTCCGTATGCTTTTCTCCAACCTTTACCTATTCCGATCAATATTGGATTTTCGCCTTTGTGGTTGTCATAGGTCTCCTCCACCCTCAGATACCATGTGGTTCTTCATTTTGCTCCTCTTGTTGTTTTAATTGGCATAGTTGGTGGTGTAAGTCAATTTCGTCCGCAAGACATCGGGCTGCAAACCCTTTAGCAAATTCACCCGATTTCTTGGCGAGGAAGGTCAGTCTGTTATTAAACCACATGATATCATTTTGAAGTGTCTCCCTATGTGTTCTTCAATACTACCATACATCATGTATAAAATTCTGGAAGTTTTTTCTTGCTAATAAGGAAGTGATGCAAGAGGCAGAGGAGATGAAGGAGGGATAGGCAGAACCACAGGTTGAATCGCAATTGAGGACAAATTGAGAAGAGCGTCCGAATGGGTAATACACAATTTACATATGAAATTCTCAGACTTGTCTAAGGAATTATGGGACGATACATACCGGGAACTCGTTCCACTACTGGAAAAAAGCAAGAGTCTCATAATAGTCATGGATCATGGGCTACCACAAGGGGTGCGTTGGGAGGAGGTCTGCCATCAAATGCTGAGAATTGTGCTCACAAGATTCCACCCCCCGACCCCTACACGAATTGATGTATCGAAGAAGGAAGGAGAGAAGGATGGTACGGTTGATGGTAAAGTTGAGGTAGGAGGAAGCGGGAGGGGCCACAAATGGATGGAGAAGGAGCAAGCCCTTGGGGGAGGCAAGAGAGACCATAGGAAAAGGGGAGGAAGGAAGAACATAGTGGAGTAGCAAGGTCAACAATCTAGACAGCATAAAGGGGGGCGGTGGGGGTTGAGACGACTGAGACAGCATAGGACACCCAATACACCCCCCCCCCCCCCAACAGGCTTTGCCCCCTCCCCCAGACCCCCTGGATGAAGAACTGGTCGGTGGAGGCAGAAGCTCAGGCATGTCTTAGAAAAGGGACAGTGGTCCCAGTCGCTAACCAAAACAAACGTTATGGTAGTGTTGATACGGAAGAAAGAAGGAAGGTGG